ACAATGTATTTTCTTGGCTATGGCTGTGATGAATTCGGGTATAGATTGTGGGATCCAGTCGACAAGAAAGTCATTCGAAGCCGTGATGTTTGTGTTTCTTGAAGACCAAACAATTGAAGACTTTGGCAAAGATGATCAACCGGAGCCAAAAGCTAGTGATATCATTAACATGAATCCATCTCCTTCATCTTCAGTTGATGATGAAAATGGGGGAGATGTACAGCCACCTATTGAAGAAGTGGACGATGATGTTAATCCTAATGAATTTGAGCCAAAAATTGAGGAAGCGCATCCAACTCAAGAACCGCCATTACAACTTGAGTTGAGGAAATCTACAAGGGACCGGCAACCTTCAAGAAAGTATCCTCCCAATGAGTCTGTGTTGATTTCCGATCAAGGAGAGCCTTAGAGCTACCAAGAAGCAATTGAGCATACAAAGAAAGACGATTGGAAAAAGGCAATGGAAGAAGAGATGAATTCCTTACTTGAAAATCACACTTATGATTTAGTAAAGTTGCCTAAGGAAAGGAAAATTCTGAAAAATAAGCGGGTTTTCAAATTGAAGAATGATAGGAAGAATCTGAGGTACAAAGCACGTCTTGTTGTGAAAGGCTTTGGGCAAAAGAAAGGTATTGACTTTGATGAGATTTTCTCTCCGGTTGTGAAGATGTCTTCTATTCGGGTCGTACTTGGCATGGCTGCAAGTATGAACCTTGAAGTTGAGCAACTTGATGTGAAGACCGCATTTCTTCATGGTGACCTTGAAGAAGAAATTTACATGGAGCAACCAGAAGGTTTTGTGGAAAAAGAGAAAGAGAAATTTGTTTGCAAATTGAAAAAACGTTTGTATGGCCTCAAGCAAGCCCTGCGGCAATGGTACAAAAAATTTGACTCTTTCATGATAAATAATGGTTTTTCTAAAACCACTTCGGACCATTGTGTGTTTGTGAAAAATTTCCCGGATGGCAAATTTATTATTCTTTTGCTTTATGTTGATGGCATGTTAATTGTGGGTTAAGATTCTACCACGATTAACAGGTTGAAATTGGAGTTGAGCAAGTTTTTTGTTATGAAAGATTTGGGACCGGCAAAGCAAATACTTGGTATGAAAATTGTTCGTGATCGCAAAGAAGGGCTGATTTGGTTGTCTCAAGAAAGCTACATTGAGAAAGTTTTTCAGAGGCTCAATATGGATAAAACAAAGTCATTTGGTTGTCCACTTACGGGTCACTTCAATCTTAGTTCGAATCAATGTCCTACAATTGAGAAAGACAAAGAAAAGATGTTGAAAATTCCTTATGCTTCAGTAGTTGGTTCTTTGATGTACGCCATGGTTTGTACAAGGCCGGATATTGCTCACGCCGTTGGTGTGGTGAGTCAGTTTCTCTCTAATCCAGGTAAAGAACATTGGGTAGCGGTAAAATGGATTCTAAGGTATCTTCGAGGGACTTCGAAGGTGTGTTTGTGTTTTGGAGATGGGTAAGCCGATAGTTGATGGGTTCATGGATTCTGACATGGCCGATGATGTTGATTCTAGGAAATCTACTTCGGGGTATTTGATGACATTTGCAAGGGGAGCTGTGGCATGGCAATCTAAATTACAAAAATGTGTTGCTTTCTCAACTACCGAAGATGAATTTATTGCCATTACAGAAGCTTGCAAAGAAGAGTTATGGTTGAAGAAAGTTTTTGCAAGAGTTGGGTTTGAAGCAAGAAAAGTATGTGCTTTATTGTGATAGTCAAAGTGCAATTCATTTGAGCAAAAATTATACTTTTCATTCGAGATCGAAATACATTGATGTGAGATACCATTAGATTCGTGATGTGTTAGATTCAAAATTGTTACAACTCGAAAAGGTTCACACAGATGAAAATATTTCGGATATGTTGACTAAGACTTTGTCGAGGGACAAACGTTTGAAGTGTCGAACTTTGGCGGGTATGGTTGATGTCTCCACCTAAGTCGATAAGGGGAGAATTGTTGGGGTATATCTCCTTATTAGAGTTTGAGACCCAATTGCTTTATTAAAAAATTTTAATTTGGCTTGGTTTAGGTATAATATATTTTAATATATTATATCTAATTTTTAGAGATCTAATTCAGTTAGGTAACAATTAGGTTTTGATTAAACAAACCCAAAATTTAACAATATATATATATTGTTCATATATTTTTGAAAGTGCGGCGACTGCTATAGATCATTGATCAATCTCTTCGGTGACCGTGCGGGATGCTATAGTTGACTTCATGCTTTGTGCTTTGATTCTGATTAAAGCTCGGAAGTTTATTTTGGATTTAGCGGCAGCGTGTGGATTGATTTGGGTCTATTATTTTGGGTCTTCTACAACTCTGGTTTCAAAGATTTTTGTTTGTTTTTTGGTAAGGACTTTCCTCTTGTTTATTTGTGAGTATTTAGAATTCACCTAATGGTGGTTTTGTGAGACCATTCGTGTCTTGTTTGTAATCGTTTGAAAACTCTTTGGTTGATAATGGAATCGGATTTCGATCCCGTGGACGTACCTTACATTGAGGAAACCACATAAAATTCTTGTGTTGCTTTTGATTTAATTTTTCTGCATTAGTTTTTATTCCCATTGATTGATTTACTTGTGGGGAATCATATATTTTCCCTAACAACAAATAGTGACAAAGACCTGCAATTTCAATTAAAACATTCATATAAACTAGCAGAAATTTTTCAATATTGAGATTCAAACCATGAGCCGAGTGTAAAACAACAGGATAACATAATCACCTACTCTATAATCCCAATGGCTTCCTTTGCTAATACAGAGTCACCTGGGCGATTTTGTTAATCTGTTAGTAAGGCCCTTGATTGTCCCAACTGACTATGACGACATGAGTCTTTGAAAATAAACATGGTATTGATGAGTCTCACTTTACTAATGTGGAAGGTGAAATTATTTTTACAGAGAAAGTGAGATAAATACGTCCAATCCTTTATACTCTATAAAGAGAAACCAAGCATCAGTGATCACTCCTGACCAAGATTGGTCGGAAGGACCCTCCAACAATCAAATCAGTACACTGATCGACCATAGCGTTTGAATATAAGAAAGGAAATATTTTTGAAGTAGAAATTGATTAAGATTGAGCATAATTGGGTTTAGGAGTGTGCGTGGTACGGTTCGGGTGGTTTGAGAGTAAAATTACAAACTAAATGGCAAATTGGCAGATTAACAGATTGACAAATCACGGTTTTGGCAGTTTTGAATGGATTGACGAATTGAAAATTATTCTAACCAATTATCAAATATTTGCATAATATATAACACTAATTTGCATAATATTTTTTATATATACAACACAGCAATTTTACATAATATGTTTCATATATATATAACTACTAATTTATAACAAATTTCACATCTTAAATCTTTCTTACACTTATTTTAATTTTGATATTCCATTAGAGGTTAAAAAATATATGTGTATTAACTATAGTGGAGCATAACGGTTTAGAACATGGATTATAAATTTTAAAGTTTAATCCGCGGTTAGCGAATAGAACGGTGCAAATTGATGCAGATCGGTGCAGTTTTAGTTTATTGGGCGGTATTTTACACAACCCTAATTGGTTTAGATTGGATTCATTACTCGTTCCTTTGTACTTTGTTAACTTACCCATTTATATTTATTCTGGCTCAAATCTCATTCGTCAAATCTTGTTTTGATCGAAGGGTTTTGCCCATACCTAACTTTGGTTGGGCAACTTGCCAACTGTGCCTTGTCCTTGATTATTAGATCTCTGGTGCATGGACGGCTTGGATGATGTTAAATGTTAGTAGCTGGTTCGCCAAGAATTATATTCGTAGGATTAAATTGATCGAACAACTCTGCCTCCTATTAGGTCCAACCTATGTCTTAATCTTGTCTATTCTATACTCGTCACCGTTGGATGATACTTAATCCTACGCCTCTCTTTTATTTTATAGATTTGCCTTCTAGATTATTATCTTTTATATTTGTCTGTCCCTTCACACACCTTGATTGGATGCCAAGTTATTGTCAGCTATCCTTCGTGGGTTATAAGGGATGGATTTGGACTTACCACTTTTTGACTTGGGCTAGCGTAATTGGATTTAGGCCAGGGCTAATATTTTTTTCGCTCCACAACTACTATTATTGAGTCCTCCAAAAGTAAACGTGGTAATATTTTTCTTGTAAATTGATTTTACACAGAAAAAAATATTTTTGTTTTTCGGCGTTTGGTTGACATTTGAAATAAAAAATATTTAATTGCCTAAATAAGAAATTTTAATTTAATAAATTATCATTTATGACTTGTTAGTTAGTTAAGATATTTATTTGAAAATGCTAAATATGTTGAAAATGTAATAAGTGAAAGTTAACTTTATAAAAATTGACTTATAAATTTTTTAAAAGTAATTTAGTTTTGAAAAAATGATGCAAAAAATATTTTTCTTCAAAAATATTTCTTTCTTCTTGTTCAACCAAACAACAAAAAATGAATAAAATATTTTTGATAAAAAATGATGCAAAAATATTTTTCTTCAAAAATATTTCTTACTTGTTCAACCAAACTACAAAAAATGAATAAAATACAGAAACTTAGTACAAGTCTTACATTACCCAAATCTCGTAGGTCTGCTTTAATTTTTATTTAATGGGTTTGGAAAATTACTTATATGACATAAATCGGGAAAAAAAAACAAAAATTTGGCTAATAAAAATAAATAACACTGCATCACCCAAAGGATTGCTCGATAAGTCAACAAAAACAAATAATAAAAATTCTCATAAAATTCTCAAATAAATAAAATTTTGCAAAGCAAGAGTACGAAAGTGAACAAAAACAACAAAAAGAAAACAGCACATACATTAGGCTCACTGAACAGACCAACTTAACTAGAAGAAAAATTCAAGATACCTAAAAGGCAGAGATGGCATCACCCAAAGGATTGCTCGATAAGTCAAGCTAGCAAGGACTAGTCAAATTTCTGATAAGAGGGCTTAATCACACAAGCAGAATGAGATTTGTCGAATTTGATTTAAAAATAAATAATAAAAAAGAAAGAAGAGAGGATAAACCTAGTCTATAGATTCTCATAAAATTGACTCCTCAAACAAGTTAAAGTTTTCTATTGCGTTTCAGGTGAAACCAGTTGGTGGTTTTGGGACCCATTGTAGTTCAGCAAAGTTTTTGACAAAAAGCCTACTGCGTGTCAAATCCAATTGCTTCAAGATCAAGAACATCACAGATATATTATTCTGAAGGTGTAGAAAAGACTAGGATTTCACGAGCAATACAGGGATGCAGGAATGGACCCTAGAATATTTGCTCCTAAAAAAAGGCAGTTCAATGAGTGACCTTCCTACTTGGACCTCAGACAGGTACAATAAAATAAAATTTGAAATAAAGAGAAGAAATTGCAACCCTGTTGAATGGCTTGTTTCTGGTTTGCTCCTCCTCTTAGCTGTGAAGAGAGATGAGATCGGTATCGGTTATCAATGTAACCTTTCATTTGAGAAGAGGCTTGGCATATTTTCAAGCAGCAATCAAAGGACCAGTATTAAGAGAATAACAAAAACAGAGATTTGCAGTTAATTTTGCACTAAAAAATATTGATAGATGACCAGCCAAATAGACAGCTGGTTGGTAGAAGTCCACAAAGCTATTTTAGTAAATTCACTCGTTAATGGTCAGAACCCTTTCCCTGCCCCTTAATAGGAGTTCCTCACGTAAACACAAACATTTTTTGATGATTTCTCCCCCGGAAATGATTTCCCCTGCAACAAGTATTACCCAAGTGAAAAATAATAACATAATTGAACACCAGTTTTCATGTCAACAACTATTAGGATGAAAGGAGAGGAAAGCACAGACCATAATGCTAGCCTGAAAGCCCATAAAACAATGGCTACAGGGAGTTGTTAAGGTTTAACCCAGTGAAAAACTTCAACATTTCAACCTTCACTACAAAGTGAACCATGAGCCTTGCTGAATATTTATTGGATAAGTTAATCATTATTGTAATGATCTAAAATTGCCGTAGCTAAAAAGCGTCCACACAAATTGAAGTGTTATCAGAATCAACAAAATGCAATTAAAAAATATACAGATACATAATCCAAATATGCATGAAACAGGCAACAAAGATGACAAAATATTGGATGACTGCAAAAAAATACCTTCAAGAGCAATGCAGTGGACTAAGAAACCAAAACTTAAAATTCCGCATCAGCAAGATGTACTGGAAGGAAATGAAACAAAGCACAGCTACTGGAGCACCACAGCTACCAAACCAAGCATCACTCATCAACACGAAAAATGGTAAGACCAGATTCAAAAGCTATCAGCAAGAAGTGCAGCAACAACCGATGTGTAAAGATACCGTCTATCACTTCACATATACATTCACGACCTCATGTGCTGTCACAATATGCAACTGGTATCAGCTCAAAACCATATTCACCGATGCATGTACCAAAACACATTGATACATGCCACATCAATTGGTAACGGTCTAATAGCCAAGAATAAATGAGGGGAAGTCTAACCAAACATTGGTAAAAGTATGTAACTATGTCACCATGTCCAACCTCATGCTACAATATCCAGCTCAAGTAGGTTCATATTAAAATCGGCACTATCATATATCTGGTCCAACAGTTTAACTGCATCAGCTAAACTGCCTTCCGGACCCAAGATTTAAAGTCAGCAAAAGTAAGGACGGTCAGGTCAAAAGTCAAGAGTCCAATGGGACTTCAGTAGCATGCCACATTCACTTTTAAACCTTACCAATGATGACATCAGCAGAGAAAATTTGTAAAAAACAACGTACTTCGCAACCAGCAAGAATGATATCAACCCACCGCAAAATGAACACAGCATCAACAGCGGCTACATCATCAGCAAGTCAGCCACATTCACTTTTCCCAGACACAATATAGAAGGACAATACATGGTCCATCACAAGTAAAAAAGCTCAGTTATCTGAATTGATATTAACAAAGATACAAAGAAAATTAAATATGATTTAAAAACAAGGTAAAAGAACAAAGAAAGATTAAAAATGCAGCCAACCCATGACAACTGGAGTGCAACAGTACCATCAAAACTTGAGGATGCATCAAGTACAACAAAATAGTCAACGTTAAATATCAGCCCTGAGCAATCAATTCTAGCATTCAGTGATTTGATAATAACATTGAAAATCTCAAGATGTCCTCCTCCAGAGCAGTTTCAACTACACCCAGTACGACGAGTAGAATACGAGCTGAAGATTCATCACATACTATATCACTCCCTATTCCTACAAAACAGAAATCCTAATAACCAGTTAAGCCACAAAAGTCTGGATGCAATCAACCTTAGATTTGAGGAATATTACTTACATCAGCATTGGAATGTCGGGAAGGGCTTCGAGAATCAGCAGGTCTACCACACAGAGAAACACTTTTTAGAGTAGGTGAGCGTTCATTGTGATTGCGTCCATCAGGACTCCCACCCCTAGATAGAGGTGTCCTACAAGGAGAGGGCTCCTCCGAGGACTGGGGGTACGACGAGCAGGGGAGACACTTCAAAACATCCATATGGCATCAGATAAAAGGTCCAAAAGCACAATTCAATGAAGAGCAATATGGAGAGAGAGAGAGAGAGAGAGAGAGAGAGAGAGAACACTAAATACCTTTCATAAGAACGGCTCCGACTACGCCTCTCATCATCATATCTGCAATTAAACAAAAAATAACAAACAAACAAAACAAACAAACAAACAAACATGCAATTAAACAGTCAATAGAATAACATAGAAATATACTCTTGAATCTTTTACCGGGGATATCAAAGAAGAGAGTGGAGAGAAAAGACCGAAAAGCAAACAAGATTGAAAATTTAAGGCATAAAAAATATTAACTCTGAAGTAAAAAAAGTCCCCTCTCAAGAAATGTTCTAACTTCTTAATTAGAATAATTCATAATTTATTAAGATGTAGAAGACACCACATAAAGGATTCCCTAACACTCGTGATATCAATTAAAATTTTCAGAAATGTAATAAAGCTTATATAAGAATAGACAAAATACAATCTTAATTAATAATTGATCATCTACTAAGATCCAGAAAACACCTGTAGAGATAAGTGTCCCCAATTAGGGATGGGATTCAACCCAATCTACCAGGTATTGCCCCTCCCCCCTTGAAGACAACCAAATTGGATGATAAATGGTTTGAGAGAGAGTAACACAAACCTGGTATAGAGCAGGGTTGTGAAGGCACCCCCGGTTATGTATCTATTTAAAGTACCAGGTATATTCTCTTTCCATAATAAGTTCTGTTAACTTATCTCCCTTTCAAATCCTAACATTTATGCAACATTCTATTTCGAAGTACAAATCTTCTTCGTGCTGAAGGCCACCTCAATCCAAGTATTTTACAAGCTTTAAAAAGATGAAGAATAAAAAAAAAATAAAAGTTCAATAGCAGTCTTAAGTGGAATCTCATCCTAGTAACATAAATATAGATTTAAAAAAACTACCAATTAATACCCATTAATGGGTGTTTGGGGGGTTAAATTGGGTACATAAGAAACCTTTGGCATAAATGTACAATTTGTGCTCAGACTTGAACCTATAATCTCAAGGTTAATAGGCCGAGATTTTAACCATTGAACCAATGGTTTACCCTAAAAACAACACCCGATTAGTACCCATTGTGGGAGTTTGAGCATGAATATTGTGTGAGTGATTTTCTAATCACACTGCCCAACTCAGTATTCAGCTGGAGAACACTGGCAGAATAAATGACACCTGGCTAACCTGTAGAAAGAGAAGATTCTGGCGGTGGTTCGTTCACCCGGGGGCACTCCGATGATTAAGTCAGTATATCTCTCAAAGATAATCAATAGTGCTTAACTCACTAGACAGAATATAAGTTGCGTACCTTAGGCCCATGGGGGTGCCTCTCTTTTATAGCTAACTCAATCCTTGTCCCAACAGGAGCCTAGCTCTAATGGACTTCGGATTACTATCAATCTTGGACTCCCAGTAGGATTGGAATAAACTCCCTAAGAGTCTTATCCTTTTCTAACTGAAGTCTTCTCTTATTCTAGGACTCTTGTCCCTTATCCGCTTATCTCGGATTCCGATATCTTTGAAAATAACCTCGGCTTAACCGAGATCACCTCGGCGTCTTGACCTGGACACGTGGCACCTCGGCTGACACGTCGGTGTCACCTTGCTACGTGTTGGTACTCAAAAATATATCCCCACAACTGTCCCCTACGTTCTATTACCTCAACAGCATTCTGAGGTGATGGAACCTATATCAGTACCTCATGCTAATTCATCGGTTTAATCCGAGATCATCATCATAGGCCGACATGTCTTCTTAAAGATCAAGAATTCCAAGAGCTCCTTTACGCGTATGAGCTGTCATACATAACAACTCAACCGTTAAGCCACTTGTTTTCTCCTTACTGGATCGTACTCTGGATGCGCTTATAAGTCGTTTTGCGCCTACATGCGCCGTCTGACGTATTCGCTGTTCCAGGCGCATTAATTGCCTTCTTTTACCGCTGTTTCAAGTTTTTGACAAAACTTGTTTCCCTCTTTCATTTTTTTTCACTTTACATCGTCTTCATTCAGAACTTTTTCTCTCTCTAGCTTCCTCTAATCCTCCATTTTTTCAAGCTTTGAAGCTCTGTCATCGCTACTGTTCACCTCTTCTGGTGTGGTTCTTGCCAATCTGTTCTACCGCCGCCATTCTTCTGACTTCGGCGATCCCAAGCATCGGCTTCTTTTCTCTGATAAGTCACCATCCCTCCTGGTTTTCAGTTCTTGTTGTGTTCCATGAAATTTGGCTTCATCATTAGTTGCCATTGCTGTTTTATTCGAATATTTGATTCGCGAATCATGTATCTGAGTATGTTTATTTCATATCTTTGCTCTTTGTCCATGTCTGGAATAATCGTACTGTTCACATACCTGTTGGTTTCTGCCACTGTTCTTGGCGTAATACACTTATGCAATCTTTTTGTCTTGATTTCTTGATGTCTCTATCACCATTCTTGTTTCTGAAACGGATCCCTGTTTTTCTGTTTTCCTGATCCGTTCCTTCAATCTTCATCTCCATAGCTTTAGGTTTAGGATTTGTCTGTAGAACCCACAATTTAGGAAAAAATTGAAACTTGTATTTTCCCAAGTGTTTGACGAGGTCCCACTAACCCTTTCAAAACATCTTCTGAAATCCAACCCCTTCGATTAAGCCAATATCATGGGTATGTGGAAACATAGGGTAGACACCCCATCCAAACTAAAATTCTTTAGACAAGAGTTTGAAATCCCAGCTGACGTCCATCTGAGGTCGGTTGGGGATGATGACTCCATCATGCCTATCGATGACTCCATGCCCTTCCCTGTGGTAGCCTTTATCGAGTGTGGACTTCGGCTCCCACTCAACATCCTTTTCCGTGAAATACTTCATTATTACAAGTTGAACCCAATGCAACTTTCTATCAATTCCTATCGAACCATCAACGGTATCATAGCCTTAGCCAAACAAGAAAACGCTAGGATCACATTAGCTGACATCCAATATTGCTACACTATGTGTGGCCTTAAAAAAGACACTGGCTACATTTACTACCTCAAGCCGAGGTCTACTGAATACAAAATCGTTGCCGACCTCCTTGACTCCAACAAGGGAGCTGGGGATAATTATTTCATTACTTCAGGGAACTGGGAGTTCGCCCCAGATGAAGACCTTCATCTCTTCCCTCCCTTCTATCAGTCTTTGTAGAGGGCAACGGTAAGAGCCCTGCATTCATACCTACTTGTTTTTTAAAGTCTTTCATAGTTTATCTATTTCTTAATGTCTGTTTTTCTTGCAATTGTTCCTAAGCCACCAAAAAACTTTTGCCAATCCTTCATTCCCAGCAAGGATTTGAAGAAACTCTTGGACCTACCAGTCCATAAACGGACGGCGCCTCTGCTTCTCAATTTTATTCCAACATACAAGTCAGCTCTGCCCGACGTCCCTAGAAAGAAGAAGAAAAGCCTTTCTCCACCCTCTGCCACAACTCCACAAACCGTGTCCACATCTCGGACAGACCAAGGGTCAACCTCTGATCCAGCTAAGCAACCATCAACCTCGACTCCATACTTGATTCCAATATCCCAACGCCGCCGTCGACGCCGAACAATTTCTTCTGCTGAGATGGGTCGCCCAAAACCAATTGCCAAAGATCTCCCGGCTAACATTCCAACTGAGGTTGACGCTCAGCCAACACAAACCTTGCCTCCTCCAAAGGCAAAACGAATCAAAAAGCCTCAGCCAAAGGCAAAGGTGCCTCAGATCGATTCTGAGGATACCTTGCCAACTTCCAAACCGGCTTCGAGTGAGAAAACTGCCTCTGTCCCTGCGAAGAGGTTCGCCGAAACACTTCCATCTGATTCTACCAAATCCAAAAGGCCGAGGTCATCTTCTGCAAAGACCTCGGGGTCTAAAAAGCCTACTGTCCCCTGGGCCCCTGAAATTACCTTGGAAGATAAGCCAGTGATGGCCAACGATAGCGCTGAGGACATCAACGTCGGCGTAGCACTCAGTATTGCTCTGCTTCTCCCTGGCGATCTTGACCGAAACGCCGGGTTAAGCGAGTATGAAAATTACGCTCTGATGCTTCAACGTTCTGTTCAAGTGAGTGTCCTTACCTGGCAATTTTTCCTTTTCTTGTACTTTAGAAGATTTTGCAATAACTTTTGTCTTGTGTTTTTTCAGGCCATCCAGCATGCCCATTCTTTCTCTGTTCAATCTTTTGAAAATCGGGAAAAGTTGGTTGAGATGAAGAGGGAGTTCTCTACTCTTCAAAAGGCCAACAAAAGCCTTCAATCGAAAATGAAGAAGTTAGAGGACCATGCCGAAGCTGCCATCAAGGCTCAGACCGATGCCGAAGAGAAGTTTGATTCTGCTGAGGCCATTAGGAAGGTGGCTGAGTCCCGAAAATGAGAGGCTGGGGAGAAGATAACCCAGGCCCAAAAAGAGCTGCAGGAGGCCTTGGCTACCAAAGAGGCTGAAATCAAGGATGCTGATGAGAAGGCGTATGCCCAGGGCATGGCCGATGTCACGGAGGCCTACGAAAAGCAAGTGAAGGAGGCATGAAATAAGGGTTTCACCCTTGGTTGGATGTCCCTTCTAAAAAAGCTTAATGTCCCTGAGCACTCGCCTTTGAGAAGCGCCGACGCCATTCCTCTTCCATTCCCTCCAACTCTAACTCTAGCTCAATCTGATGATGAATCTGATTCTGAGGATGAGGTCGAGGAGGAAGTTTTAGTGAGGAAGTCAAAAGGGACTGCTGGGACCAAGTCCCTTTTTCAGAGTGAGCAAGTCTTAGACTTGACTCAAGATGAAGAGGGTGATGAGGTTCTCAAAAATGCTGCTCCTGAGAAGACATCAGTCGATGTCACCTTTGCCGACAAGAGCCTTGACGAAACCCTTGCTTAAATTGATACTGAGCTCGCGGAGGAAAAGGCTGCCAAGGCGTCCTCTCAACAATTGTCTGAACTTCAAATTCAACCAACTGCTACTGCTGAGGAGCCTTAGTTTTATGTTTTTCCCTTTTTTTCCTGTATTTTGTTTATCTTTTTTGAAGTACTGTAAACTCTTTACATCGTCGACGTTCTCTTAATACAACTCTTTTGCTTTTGAATGCTTGCATGTTTGCGTTGTATGCTTTCACACTTAGAATATTTTGCATATCTTCAATATATACTTTAATCCTTGTGCAACCTTCTCAGGATGACACACCTCGATTGTACAAACTGATGATTTACCTCGGCAAGTACCTAACTACCTTTCCCAGCGTAATCTTGGTTTCACCTTGTAGATATAAGTTGTCAACAAGTGTTTAACCTTAGTCTTCCATCTTGTAAATTGTCCACAAATTTCAACAAGTGTTAGACATCATCTCGAATTAACTTCAACTTGTAAATTGTCCACAAATTTTAACAAGTGTTTAAACAATGATCTCGGTTTAACTTTAACTTGTAAATTGTCCACAAATTTCAACAAGTGTTAAACAATGATTTCGGTTTAACTTCAACTTGTAAATTGTCCACAAATTTCAACAATGATTTCGGTTTAACCTCAACTTGTAAATTGTCCACAAATTTCAACAAGTGTTAAACAATGATTTCGATTTAATTTCAACTTGTAAATTGTCCACAAATTTCAACAAGTGTTAAATAATGATTTCGGTTTTCTCTACCCCCTCATGTGAACCTAAGTTCTACTTGGGTTTTCATTATGCATGTATTCTAGAGACAACTTCAAGTATTTTGAAAAGAAAACCAAGTTGGATCTTTATTTACTTCGGCAAATGACAAAAGAACAAAGG